TAGATAGATAGAATGGAATAAAGAGTTCAGGTTTACTTATTAATCATTAGTTGCCATGGGACAGTTAATTGTATTCCATCTCTCCTATTAATACTGTTTGAATTAGCCCATATATGTAGGGCTTCGGCTGTTAGTCGTTCTTTGTAAGAGCTAAAGCCTTTTTGAATGATTCTTGCGCCATTAAAATCAACTGTATGACCCGATTCAATCGAGTGTAATGCTATTGCTGATTTGTTCTCGAGTATTTTTTAATTCATCTGAGGATTTAGGAATGTGCACAGTTTGTGTTCCTTCACCCTCACATTCAATTGCCTCGATGTTTCACCTACATACGTTGCCTTACAATCATTACATTTGATTTCATAAACACAATTCTGTTGTTCATCCTTGAGTATTGGATCTTTGATTCTTACTAGTTTTGATCTCAGAGTATTGTTTGTTCGAAAGAATACTCTTATATTTTGAAGAGTTAGAATCCTTCTGATCTCTTCTGAAATACCTTTACGATATGGGATCACCACTGTGTTAATCCATTCTTTTTGCTGAACTATTTTTTAATGATATCATTTTGTTCTTCATTCTTAATTATTCTTTTAATAAGACCCTTCGGATAATTATTCATCATTAGACTGGATGCAGTTAAATTCATTTCCATTTTTATATTATTTGCTTCAGTGACAAGTTTTTTGACTCTGGTGATCAAATTTTTGGTTACTGTCACATTGGTAGAGTGTGAATGCTCAGACCTAAAATCTGCCCCCAAATGCCCTGGTACGGTCGAGAGTGGGGAGAGTCCGCTCTCCCTCTCGAAATGCTCTCACATGGCCACGCGTATATAGCCTCTGTCAGGGAAGTCCTACTCACTGCCTTCTCGTGGCGGGGGTGTTGTTTACGAAAATGAGAGGACGAAAAGCGAATGTCTGGCGCTATAACCGGACCCCAAACCAGTGGTGCACATGGGCTCCAGTATCCTGAAGGAACAAATGGCGCATGAACCAATCGTTGATCACCGGCTACCATGGGACTGCATCTCCTTACGATGCTCCACTGCCTTGTGGGTCAGACGTTCAGGTCGAAGGCTCGGGATGTGGCCCCCTAAAAAAACCACCTACTTCGGTTTGGGCACCCTGTCAGTATCACAGCCCTCACACAAATCAATTGAGATTTGTGTGGCGCATATGTATTTGGTCCCTCTTTGTACCAATACCTATGTGTTAAAATAAAATAAATAAATAAGACCTAAAATCTAGTAATTTCCCTGAATATGTCGGCTTTCGAAAAATACTAATTTTTAAGCAATCATTACACTTCCTTTCAACTAAGCAGTCTCTAAGGAATACTCATGTAGCTGTAACAGCTGCTTTTTGTGAACGTATATAATTGTCTGGAGTCTTGACTCTTGAAGTTCTTGGATAAACATGATGGTTTAAAAAGCATAGACTGAAAATTCGGTGGTTATACCAATTGTACATTTTCTTCGATAATTTGATGAGATTGCATACGTAGACACACAATCTGTTATCTTAACACTTTTCGTTTCACACCACATGTCTCTTACATACTAATGTAAATACCTAATTCAAACAGTGTTCACGTTGATCGGATGACTTATTCAGTGTACAGTAAACCAGAGAACCATGTACCAATTTGTATTCGATAATTTTGTTGTTTGATCATATTTTCTTTGAAAAAGCTTGGATCAGATTGTCAGGCGAAACGTTGGATTACCTTCAAATTCTTTCGCTGAGATTTTACAAATACATTCTTTCTCTTTAATATCTCACATTAACTCGGCACCCAAATATTGTGAAATTATTCGTTCAAATTTAGACGAAAGTTCTTATTTAATGGTTATTAGTAAGTTGTATTTTATTATTCAGATAATGATAGAAGTAGATATACGTGGATGTAACTCCCTTTGAATCCTATTCATCTGTATCCACTTTACATATGCATGGTTGTCGGATCAATCACCTAAGATTGTTTCTAATTGTTATAAACAAGTTGTTTTTATAAACTACTCACTTTTAAAATGAGTAGGAATATGTAAAAATACGAAATAGTGTGATAAAACAACTTTTTCATATCAGTGACCATTTAACACCTACATATATCTTACACATGATAAGACCAGAACGTTTGGTATCTTTTCACATATACTAATAAATCATATAATATGCTTGATTCAATTAAAATCTAAAAAAATTAACAATAGGTCGACGGCTAATTATTTACTGATTGTATTTTTCGAATAGAAAAGAAAAGAAGGAATACTTAAATGTCATTTGAATTTTTCTTTATGAGGTATTTCAAAACGACAAATCATATCAAGTCTAATTACTGAATCTATAAGTACAGCTGGTCTCTTTTTAATGATTGAATTTATGAGTCAATTCAAGTTAAACCACCATGAAAAACCTGGAAGCTCTGTATGTCCGTTTCGTCATAGTATGGGACTCCTCAGCAGCGCGCATCCACAATCCTGCCTCGCGAGATTCAAACACAGGATCTATCAGTCTCACGCACGAGCGCTTAACCACTAGACCATTGAGCCGGCATCCAACTGTGTTAGTGCCTAACTTCAATTGATCCATGAAGCTGCACCACCGTCCACTGATTCCAGGTTTTCCATGGTGGTCTAGCTTCAATCGACTCATTAATTCAACTATTAAATTACTATAATATCCACAAAATCCCTCTCTGACTATGATCTCTTTTTGTTTTAGTATGGAATATTGGAAACATTTCAAACAGAGAATTGTTTCAAATAACCATTACAAAATACCTGTCATCATAAATTAATGAAAATTATCTTGGTCTACACTTATGAACAATTTATTTTTTTCCAAATTAATGATAAAAGGTACTAAATCAGCTTTTATCGAACCAATATTTATTAATTTAAAATGAAAGGTAAAGATTAAGTGTAGAATGAGTCTGTATGAATTTCGAACTAGAATTAAAAATTTTCAATTTCCATAGCTTATAATGGCATATGAAATGACGATAAAACTGGGAGACTTATTCAAGAGTAGAAATAGTAAAACTAGGTAGAGCTAAAATAAGCTCCAGAATTAGTTTAACCTGAGATCCATAATGAATACCATCCACAAATCATAAAATATTGGTATAACTTAACCTAAGTAATTTATAATCATTTATAATCTTCAAATGAAATCTCCTGATGAAGTCACACAATCTGTGAAGTTATACAACTGATACGTCTTCATATTGAGAAATTGCTAAATTAATTCACAAATCATTTTAGTTATCAGTTTCTCCATGATTACCCAATATGAACAGAAAATCAATAAGACAACATGAACTATGGAAATCGTTATCAATTGTATTACAGCATTAAATTACCTGACTTAAAGTATTTTATGATAATCTTATTTGTTTTTCATCAGAATAATTTGCATTATTGATCGTTTACTCTAATAAATTCAGACTACAGTTTTCAACTGGGCGTTAAATTATTTAAAACAGGAACGCATTATAATTTTACTAAAAAATAAACATTTTTTCGTTTCACTTATTGATCTACATATTCTGATTATTGATGCAATGTGATTCCTTTTTTCATTTCATATAGACTTTATTCTATGTAAATAGATATAAAATATATTTCATTAACTTCAGTAAATTTTGAAATTATATTTTATCGACTATTTTGAGTGATCTTTAACTCTTAATAAACCATATTGCGGAGTCGTGGATGTTCACTGTTCGGGAATTCCATACTAGGACGAAACGGTCTTCCAATGCTGTTATGTTATAAGTATTTGTCCAACTTAAATCGATAAATTATAATCCGGACACCCTCTAACTGGACAGATTGCATAAATTATTGTTTGATAAAATCGAACAAGTAATAAAGTTTAAGTACTTTTACTGTAATTTAGGACAATCAGAAGGACATCTAATACGTTACTAAATCTAACGATTAATACAGGATGACACTTCAAAAATGACAATCCCATACAAGAAGATAGAAAACAGGTCATTGAGAAAGAGCTATTATTTCAGGAAATGATAATAAGGTATCATTACCAAGGTCTGATTTGATAATTTCGAATTAATGATAATAAGGTAAGTAAACATTACAGAACATGTGATTTTACAAGAAGAAGTAACCAATCGTGTCTCGATAATATTGTGACATGAAAGTTAACAGTAATAATTTTTGTTATTGTGTCTATAACAACTCCATCAAGAAGTAAAGATCTATTTCAAGATAGAACAAAATATCGGTAATACAAGCTGACATATTACATCCCAATTAGGTAGAATTATATTCCTGCTTTACGAATGACATGTTTGTAATTGGACAAGAAAACGTTATAAATAAGTTTACGAACGTTTATGGGTTTCGTAATTTTAGCACTCATCGAACTACAGAATTTTCAAATATAGTTTTTCATCTGAATTACTGAAAAATTGGTTCACACTTCCATTTAAGTTTAGTATCAGCTTTACCTAATATCTCCGTATTTCTCATATGAATTACAATTAAATGAATTCAAGATTTTTGATCAAGTAGTCATTACTAGATTTCTAAAACAGGATTACTGCAGTAATCTTCCAGAGAGAATAAACTGATTCCTACATAGAATAAAAGTTTATTCTCTCATGGTCTTTTAGTTTCTTTAATCAACATATTAAATTATTCCAACTGAGACATGTTTACCCTGTTTTAATTTTTAAGGTCATGAACACTGTACGGAGGGATAGTAATGTACGTAACTATTTTTCAAATTGACGTTTTGCTATGAAACAATTAGGAAAGCTTGAAAAAATCTAGGAATAATAAAAATGGTTTTGTTACTAGTATACAAAATGAGTGATTTGTCTAAACAACCTTCATAAATGGGTTCTTATGTCTTCTTAGATGCATTTACGTCAAACAGACTTGCATATATACACAAATACATGGAAATATCCAACCATATAATATGATAAATATTTCCCTCAAAATGAAGTAAAGAACATTGTTAAAACTGAACAAGAACTTAACGAGTGTATTTGAAGTCTTTTCGTTTTATTTTTTAGCATTAAGATAAAAACAAATAATCATTACAGGTAAAAATAGGATTTGATTAGTCAGATGAGCTTTTGAGCTGATATTACAAAAGTTCTTACCACAACAGGTATAATTGAAACGGACATATTTCTTTAGAAAACTATCCGAACTACAGCTATCTGAGCATCCTTTTATTGTTAAATGTGGACTACCAATTGTAAGCGACTATTAAGTAATATGGGAAGATAGTAAAACAAAAGTGTACCACAAAATATGAGTGGAAAAGTTATGTTCAAAAATGTAAAATTCAGATAGGTATAATAAAATTAATGAGGAGCCGTTCACCGACTTAAGCAGAAAATACACTTCCCTCTTCCTTATATTTAACGCTGTCTATACTTCTTAACCACATAACCACTTTAAATATTTCTTTCAAGTATTCTAAACTTCATTTATTCTGATTAAATTAATCTTATAACTTAGTAGTCCTCGTATATGTCAATGAGATATAGCAGAATCATGCCAGAGAACATTACTACTTAGTGATTAGTTAGCATAGATGAGTATACTCCATGTAACCTAATAAAATGACTTGTTCATTAAGCTATCAAGTTTGACTACGAAGTCCAAAAGTGACAACATATAATGGACATCAGATTTGTTCGGTAATAAATAGATAAAATATGTCCATTTTCATATAAGTTCGCCGAGAATAGTTTTATTGTTCAAAATTGCTCATTTGTATAAGCTGACTAACCTTGGTATGAACTGATGTTATGGAAAATTCCTCCTATTTTTAATGTAACCGAATCTTAATTAGGATATGTGTACATGTTTTCCTAACGGTACCAGTAACACATTTGTAATTTTATCAATGTTCCAGCTTGCAAAACAGTATAGCACTGCGTTATGACTAATCTTATTACGGTTTAAGATTATTGTAAAAGCATTTAGGAGTTTACAATCTTTTCTGACTATAACTTATGTCTGAACATTCTTTTGGTAGTATAAGCTAAAAGCTCACGATAATACTAGCAGCCATCGCTAATATTTTATTGTTGCCTTTCACTTTCTTTCAAGAGTTAGTTCTATAAACTTATTAAATAATGATAAGTGATTTTTAACAAACAGAACAGTTGAAATATGATATCTATTTTGTAGTATCAGATTGTGCATAGTAAAATGAACTGGTTAACTATTCGGATAGCAAACGTAAAGTTCATTTATAGTAGTTTAATGCTTAGTATATAAAACGTAGCTAGCAATACTATGTCTATGCTTTAGAAAACGACGTATTCACAAATATGGTAGACAGGTTTTGCCAGAGGTAAACTATTACTGAACAATGATATACAACTGTACACCATGACAAATAATTTACCAAAAATAAATTGCTGTTCAAGAACCAAATTATCTGTTTTTTATTTCCTAATGCTCATTTTATAAACAAATATGAAATAAATGAGCTCTAACAAATGAAGATAACTTTTTTGAAAATTTTAATGATATATCATACATTCTTTGTACTTACAGCACACCACTTACAAGAACTAACTGTCACTAAAGGGGATGAATAATCCATTGGAACCGGACACAAATTACACCTATAACATTTGACTGAGAAGGCTAAAACAGGAATTTATGAAATATAATAGTGATGATGGTAATCAGCCATTTTTGCTAACAGTTTAATATATATATTTCGATAATGCAATGAGAAGACGAAGTTGATCAGAATTATGTGATATATTAGCGCAATACATTTCGAACAATCTGATCACACATATACTTGTTAAGAGCATTTATATATAAAAATAAAAGATCAACTAGACAGGTAAAGGGTAAGTCATAACAAAGGAAAAAATATTAAAGTACACAAAACAAATGTGATTACCACTTTGGATAATAAATCAGTATTACCAGGGTAGGTTAAGTGTAAGGACAAATTGTTTTTGAACACATAAATATTATATGTATGATTCAGGATCCCTGCTTGAATAAAAACTGTTTCCTGATAAAAAGTAGTTTTTAAAGTGATTGGATTATATACTGCTTCTTGATGAAATTAAAATTTCTATGGTTAATTAACCCTTCTGTAAGTCAACCAGTGGTCGGCAAAATGTTTGGGACCGATCCGTAAGAGATAAGCAAATCGCCAACTAAATGATAACTTACAATTCACATGAAGGCTAGAAAAGGTTAGAATATTTCTCATAGATTTGTGGTATCATTTGATGTCTTTTTTACTTTAGAATAAACTGTTGAAACTGTACATCAGGACTTTGCCCTTTTTACTTTACTAATCAGAGAATTCGATCAGCTTCTGCTCTTGTCTACTGAAAGTATACAAAAGTAGTTCAATAACAAAATATAGTCTAACAAACTAATGAAGATACTAAGGTGAACCTCTTATCCTAAATTTTATCGCATACAGATGTAGTTAAAGCATACAGTCAATGAAGCAACATTTTATTGGGATTTCCTAATGAAGTACTTACTGTTTGTAATATTCTGATACATTATTTTTACGTTTTAAGTTTGTTCAGTGATGAACATAATATCAATGAATTTACTATGGGATACAAGAACGACTAAAAACTCAATTTTCAAGATATCAAAGTCCAACAGATTCTATTCGGGAAGTTATAAATATATTTCTACCATAAAATCATGTGGAGTTCAGTTGATCTAAGCTACAATAGCTTCTCACCAATAAGTTAAAGAAAATGGTTTGTATGAACCCTTTCTGATCGTCATCTCAGATTTTACTCCAAGGATAAGTTAGAAGAAAAACTTCTGGTCACTCAAAGATGTATATAGCTACATAGGTACCCTCACGAATTCCCCAATAAGTGCACTAAAAACTGAACGAAGAACATAAGCACAACACAGTTGAGAAGGAAGCTTATTTATTTCACCTGGGATTCGAATGAAGCATAGAATAAATGATTAATATGATGCATTTAACGTTTTAACATGCACTATTTGAAAAATAAACACAAGACAGTCAAACTTATTTTGATGCAATTCATATTTATACTCACAACCAAAACAGTGTTTAAGCAAGTTGTATCTAGAACACTCAATACTTTGAATCTAACCATGATATGTTTTGCCTGTAGCCAACTATCAATCGTTTTTTTAATAATGACCGTCCTACATAATCAGCTGTATTACACTCTTTATCACTGTTATTCGTATGTGTACTTCACGATTCATTCCCAATTCCTGTGCATGTTTAATATTTCTATCCACATGCTAATGAAATCAACATTGTGTCCTCATTGTTTGGTCACAAAATTTTCAGAACGATCTAATAAACTGACACACATCAGCAACATGGAATTCTCAGTGGAAAGAGACATCAATGTCATATTCTACACTCACGTAGACTGTTCACATTGTTTTCATATTCCACACTGCATACTGTAAACGTCTTTACAAATTTCAGTGAAATTAGGAATGTATGCTATGAAATCAAACAACCTAAGTTATTATTGTAATAAACAATTCAATTGACATGTTACTTTCAATAACAATACATATATTTGTATAATACAAATAATAATAGAAACGTTACTGGATGGAATAATCACTTATCAACATGGTTAAACTCACTGTAATCTGTATTCACTACAAACACTAATATCATCAATAAAATCTGTATGTTACTTTCCATAATACTAAACGATTAGAAACACACTTAATATATTTCAATTGTTCAACACTTAAATATGGATTTTCTATTATAATTTGTAAATAAAGATGATTTGCTGAATCAACGGATCAAATTATTAATTTTTAATTTGAAGTTTATCAGTTAATGCTTTTATAAGTAATTTGAGTAAATGGTTATATTAGTATAATCCAACCATGGACTGTTTGTATAGAAAACTCGTTCTGAACAATTAATAAATATGAAATTTGAGAACTTTGTATTCTTATTAACTATAATGTCAATAATATCATGTACTAAAAGTATCATCAGACACCATTTTTTAGGTGGATGGTTATAGATCCAATGATTGATTGGATCAAGAATGTGGTTCATAGAAGAAATCGCTTCGATTTTTTTATTTCCTCAGCTATATAATCACAGTGCAATAAATCTTACCTTAATACATTTTATTGTAAAACTTTACGTTATCATATTACATAACCGAGTTTCAAAATTATTCTTTTTCATCTAATATCTATGATATTCTTATTCATTTTAAGTTAGCCTCAAAATTCATGAAACAACTTTAGTATAATTATTTAGTTCTATTTCTACATTTCATTAATCATTGTTATCATTAGTGATTATTATAATAATCGTTTTTTAAGTATTTTCATTAGTAGTCTATAAATATTGTATTCCAGCTAAGTAATTGTGAAGCACTCTAAGATTGAGTAGTAAAATATAATATGAGAACATATTTTTCTTCACATAGCTCAACTTATACATTTACTTTAGAACTAATTTTACTTTTATTACATACTAATTTACCGATTCAGTAGTTTAAATCAACCTTTTACCATCAGTCACTAAAACATTGAGTTCGTGTTAACGTCAAAATTAAATAAATATCTTGATGTTGTGAAAATTTAAGATATTAAATGGAATGATGACAGAACTGCAAGACATATTCAAGCTGTCAGAGTAGTAGAACTAGATACATATGAGATTTCTATGTTGATATGGGCTATAGATAAAAGAGATAAGATGTGTTGTTGTTGTTGTATCGATATCCTTTGACCTAAGGCGTCGAAAACATAGTGTGAGTTCATTATCAGAACTATCTTCAAAGTGATCAGTTTGTTCATATACTATCATAATAGATTATTTATTTAAGTTACATATTCTTACAACAAACCGAATGGCCTTCGTGAATAAATTAATGTACATCAAATATTTAATAGTATCAAACTGAATTACCTAAATGATTTTCCGATTTTCTTAAATGCTTATAGAATGATTAACATGACTGACTTCATTGTTGATCAGTTTTGAGATTGAATGAGATCATTCGTTTAAAACAAGATATAGAAATATCGAATAAAAAAGTGCACATTATCATTTTACGAAATATAAATTGTTCTTCTGATATCTGAATAACACATAAAAGGAACTATCATCTGTGTTATTGTTTATTATTACTGTTTTTATTTCTTCTAACATCAATTTAGATACACCAGAATGCTTGATAGTGTTGGATTTTATTGAGATTGTTATAACTTGTATCCTGAGTCCTTTTAATATACAACTGACAGACGCATTCCAAATGAGGACAGATGACAAACAGGGCTGCTTACTCTCTCCCTTTTTCTTTCTTCTGATGGTTGACCGGTGTTATAACTCGTGCCCTGTGTCCTGTTAATATGCAACGTAATGATACCGCCTATTAGAAAACAGTGATTTATCGACCAGACCAGTGATGCATAAAACCCGTACGAGTAGTCTAGAGTCCTTATCGGTCCTGCTTCCTGCCTAGACCTGCCTGTTAAGTCCAGAATACCAATCTCAGCCTCTGCGATAAGAATTATGTATTTCAAACATACTGAGTTTATATAAAAAGCAAGCACACCACATCGTACCATAAAACAGAAAATAACATTTGTACAAGATCTAGCCAAAAGTGGCTGGGAATGTGGGGGACTGTAATTAATAGACTGGGCATAACCCAAGAGCGGTAAGTCGTATAATAATAGTCTATAAGTCAAAATAAAGCTTATAATAAGAGGAACATGAATATGCATAGTTTAGCTATGGTCCATAAATAGATCGGAAAAGTTACCATTCATAATTCCCGTCGAGGTACAACAATAATCACAATTCTAGATGCTTCAAATTCATACCACTTTATCTATTGATGATTGTATAACCAAAAATAAATGGATAATAATAAAAACAATTCTAGCGCTAAATCTATTCCTCTGTTGAGAATTTTAGTTCATTGTCACAATAGTTTTTTATGTAGATATTATAGAAAAACCAATAATCTGCCATCTCTATCACATTCAGAACTAATTATTTAAATATAAAACTCTATCGTACAGTATGTTTAATGATTTGTGAATTTTCAAACTACAATTGAAGTTTACCTTTGTCACTTACAATATTGAAAAAAAAGTTGCTATGGATACAAATATTTACCAACTTGACTAGAATTATAATTATTGTCACTATTAAATTGTAGCATAAGAATTTGTATTTAAAATATAAATTAAAAACATTTAAGCTGAATTCATGTTTAAGTGTACTATTAAATTTGCTACAAAACTATAGAATCATTTTGCTTGGTAATATTTATTATTTATCACTGAAATTATGAAGATGATCATTTAAATGTGAAGTAAATGAGACAATTCTAATTCTAGTTTAAATCATTAAATTCATTTCTGATTCAATTGTGTTTGCCAATCTAAGTTTTCGTTCACATCAGTAATGATTGTTGGTATTTTTATTCTGAGAATTAATACAGATTATGCGTAAATTTACGGGTGTGATCAGAATGATACGAAGTATAAATTGAATGGTATGACTTTAAAAGTACAATAGTCCATCATCTGTTTGATGGTGGACTTAATATTTCAAGGTCGTACAAAGCGATCAAAAAACTTATTATTTATTACATTTCACTAAAATCCTCTCTAGTAAAAGGCTGAAACTGACAATATCCATTCAAAAGCATCTCGAAATTTCCTATTAACATTCATTTTTTATGATTCTGCTGAATCATATCATATTTTACGATCTTATTTTAAAAATTTACTCAATTTGTTGACTCATTGCTTCTTGAGCTCAACTCATTTCATTCCGTTAATCCATACAATTTTACAGCTATAATTACGAAACTTAGGACACCTAGATTCGTTTTTATAGAAACTTATCTCCATGTTTTTTGGTCACATTTTTCTTTAAGAATTGTCTTAGCAGTTAAAACATAAATACTCAACCTAAAAAGAATTGTTATTGATCCTCTCGTTTCTAATCTTCACTTGTGTAAAACATAGTATGTTGATTTATCTTAGATAATCAATGATATTTCAAAGTTGTTTGCAGCTGAAAAAAGCCGCGACATAAATGACTTCATATTTTTCTAGTGTATCCTTTGTACTTGTTGAAAGTTTGTTGTTAATAAAGTTGATGACTGACTTAGCCAATTAGATGCCATTTAAAAACTTGAATTGTCAACTCAAACTTTTCACTGAATCGAAACCACACTCAATCTTTGTCAACATGTGATGTTCACTAACAAATAGTTGTTGACTTCTTGTTGTTGTGTGAATTGCTTCTCATGTGTTTCTTTACAACGAAAACAATTAGATATTGTTTTCTTCAACCACCAATTTGTTTCTGTTTTGTTTGTTATTGCGAACTCTGGATTATTGTGAGCAAATATCAAACACCGAATACAACATAGGATTTCCTAAACATGTGGAGGAACATGACTCACAACTTCCTAAACGAATTCCATGTAGACGGTTGACAGTCTAAATGTTTTGGAATTCCAAACGATTCATTGTAATACCTAACTTCTTGTGGAAATACTCAGTGTACACTCTGACCCATCATTCAATAAGACATGACATGAGATCAAGTAACTACGAACTTAGTGTAGATGTGAAACAATTTAGTTGATGTTTTCTGGATATCGACTTACCAATTTACTGTTTCCAGATATCTATTTGATGACCGCAAGTCAACTCACTGTTTCTGATACATGAAGTGACTTATCAATAATATATGGATCACCACGGTTTGACTAAACAGTTGTGTTGACGCTATTACAAATCTGATTTTTATCGGAACCGAATCATCAGTGATTGTGCAATAAAGCATACACAGTGAAATGTTCTGCACATTTGCTAAGTAGTTTACGAAGCGTTTGGCTGAAGATCATACTATCCCTAATGTTTTAGCTCTGATGCTGTATTGCTGACCGCAAAGATGTAATAACTGTATAGGAAAGTCTCAAGTGGATGTGAACTCAGCAACTGTTGCCTAGTCGTTCATAGGATTTATATGTTTAACTAGGCTACAACTTTACAAATCAGAGTTTACATTTTTTTGAATGTGAGTGGGATTGAATGCGATTTTAATATCAAGTCCAATAATAAGCGCCTCACGACTTTGAGTGCATGCGTGTATAAACTGTGGGTTGACTGGTAACAATCACCAATGTTTCCTTCAAACAGGGCATTTTTTAGCAGATTACACTTTAAATACGCATCCAGAAATTCTGTGGGTAGTTCAGTTAATACATGCAGTTTTTCATCATCATACACTTAAAGTACTGGTTCAACACCAAACAAGTGTTCCAGATTGCAATACTTCCAGAAAGCTCTTATCGACCTTGTGAACTATCGCATATGATTGAGAACGACTCACCATAGTGGTATACTGTTATACTAGATAAAATATTTAACTTCGAAGGTTGATGTTAATATTTCACACACTAAACTTTAACTTATTCAGTTTGTGGTGTTTGTAAACCAATTATTATTAATAAATCACTTTTCTAACCTGATAGAGAATATTAACTAGTTTTCACAGAGATCAAATTGGATTTACTGACTGCATCTCCTAAGATCTAATAGTTTATTCACTAAACTATTTGATTTGGGAATGTTCACATGTTCAGTATTATGAACAGGGGACTAAATCAAGTATTGTTTGCATTTTTTGTCTCTAGATTGATTTTAGTATGAAACGATGTGTAGAAACTATGGAAACTATCAAAATAATGTAAAAGATATTATGTAATTAGTATGGCTACAAAAACAAATGAAATCGAATGATCAAGTAAAATTACAGGACAAATATCTACCTCCATTGAGAAAAATTTGGTTGAAACCGGTCATAGGATTGATATAAAGTCATCCTTTGTAGTTTTGCTCAAGTTTTCAAGGGCGTATGCTAGTGTTTGTTGAAGTTTGGCTATACAAAACCGAGATCCTCTCTATGTGTTCAAAAGAAAAGTTCCTTACCCTTGACCTACCTTGGTAGTACTGATTTATTATCCAGCGTGGTTTTCACATTGTTTTTGTGTACTTTAGACCATGGTCTAACCATGAAGTAGTTTAAGAACTATTAGGTTTTGCCTTCATCCATATGTGATAGTGATAAGCAAGCTGGCTTTACTCAAACAAGCTACTTGGGTAAAAAAATCAAGAATCTTTAGGAAGCTTTTTATTAACTAATCCTCATCTAACACTTACGCACAACTTATATATATATATATATATATATATATATATATATATATATATATATATATACCAATTATTACAGAACATGTTTCTTACAAAATAATGTGTTGTAGTATAATAGCGTTGTTTAAAACTCTAGTCGGCAAACAACACTTTATTTGTTGTACGAAAGTGCTAAAATAAATGTGATTCTAATAAGCTTCACTTAAAACACAATCAATCGTTATGAACTCGTTCACTCCAAATGATGAAAATCCATTCCATATGGATATGTGAGTCATGACGCGTAAGGCTATTCACACCTATCAGTTAAAGGATCTTCATGGAAACCGGGATCACATTGTTGATCTAGTAAATTACTTGATTTAAACTTGGTCTTTGACTTTTTGTTATTAAAAATTAACTGATATAAAATTTATTCAATTTACAAAGTTCTACTTCCCGAGATCTTCATCAGTAGACAGTTATAAATACAATCGATCAAGATCGTATTACTTATCTCAAGTTTGATGTTTTAATTGTAAAGTTCTTACTATTATTTTCAGAGAATTCATCAGTACTAACTTCAAAAAAAGAATTATTAGAGTATAACCACCGAGATTAATTATTTAACCTGTCAGTGAAGAATACGATTAAGTATTCGTAGTAACTGTCTTGTCACTGTATGGATAAAGATCTTGATAATTTTTTCCCACAGCCTATTTACTGACCTAATATATACTAAACAATTTTTCATTAACTGATAGAATACGTTAATCTCCATATGTCCATTGATTTCTAATTAACATTAAAGTAGTACTCTTAAGAATCATTTGATCTTCTTTGCTCCACTTCTGCATAAGATTCAAAGATTTTTACAGCCGAAACCTTGTTAATGATTGCTTCGCATGCTGAGGTATGCTTTGATATCTGACAGCTAGTTAACAATGAGTACTTTTCACGTGATTCGCAAATATCTGACTCATGTTATCCTACTTACTGAAGTCAACATATGAATATGATTGGATTAGCAAAGTATAGATTTAATTTGATTGTCAAACATCATATATTCTTCAATAATGTTGATTTTGATTAATACAGTGAAGTGCAGTCAAGTTTACTGAACGAAACGTTGGAATTATTTAAATTTCAATTGCTGAGATTATTTCAAATATAAATCTCATACATAGTCTCTTTTTATACTCGGTGCCTGATTCCTGTCAAACTATTCGTTTCAATATTTTTGAATGCGATCATGAACCGAATGATGTTAGAATACCATTGAAAACCTAGAAGCACTGGACGGCCATTTCATCCTATTGTGGGACTCCTCAGAAGGACGCATCCACAATCCCACTCGCGGGATTCGAACCCAGAGCTTTCGGTCTAAAGTACTATGTACTGCGTTCGAGCTTCAGTGTGACGAGTTCTGAATGTGATGACATATACGCTCCTTGATTCTACTGCTAGCTGCATTTTAAACGTCGCTTTAACAAGTTTCATGTATCTGAATATATGGTCAGGAAACTTCTTAGCGTATTCCAGCTCATCTTTCCGGCGATGATCATAATGTCGATCATACAGTCAATCTAAATTTTCAGTTTAATCACTAGCGAAACAAGGACTTTCAGTCTCAATATTTTACCGATTCTCCAATCATTCCAGGTTTTAGGGATCTCAACGAAGTTAATTCTACCCGTTTGCATACGTAACCACTGAAATAAAGTGCTTTATACAAAGTAAACTGATTATCTCAGTTGAACTCTGACATTGTAGTTGCTTTTCGTCTAAAGTAATTAAGTTCCTAACTTCAATGGATATCATTAGTTTGTTAATGAGAATTCGAAAATCCTGATTTGTGTAGGAGGTTTGATGGATTGGTCTCATGAATTTCTTGGTGTGACTAATTATCTTCTGGAACTCCCGAAAACTTAATGCTTGAATATAGAGGAACTTTTGACTTTTGGGATTTTTGTATAACATAGAAACGAAACAGAACATTGTTGAGTTTTAAATAGGATTTAATTCTGCTAGTTAAAATATGCCATATTCTTTTAAGTGGCTTATCTTATTTCTCTGAATTTATTGTGATTGAGCAAGAGAAAATAAAACCATGTTTACTTGTAATGGAAAAGTAATATATGATAGCTATCCTTACATTATTTTCCCGACATGACGGCATTGTTTTGAAGAACGATGAAAGGTTTTCAACTAGACAAAGTAGTTCAGATGACGTAACATCAAAAGCATCCATGTTAGTTGGAAATCTTTCTCAACATTGTCATCATAACTTTGCTTACTTTGATCATTCAAATAGTATTGTCAACTAAAATACAATTCAGTCACTGAACAAACCAATATGATTACGTAAACAAACAAAAATTATCACGATGTGTCATAGTAAACAGTTCATAACATGTCATTTCACATTTTGAATTATTACCCCACAAAACAAAATTGACAGACATTATTTGTTAATGAATGCCAAACAGCAAGAAACATAAATTTGCGGGTTCTCATCGATTGCCGTCATTAATTTAATATACTGAACTTCTGATCTAACTCTATTGGCTTAATCATTTGAATCAAAAGTATAATGAGTTGTTTACTAAATTATCATTTAATAATAGTCATCGTAATTATTTGGTGAATTTAGAGATTAAAGCGCGTAGAACAGGTTACTCTAACATTAACAATAGTTTTATTTGTAGAATAACTAATTGGTCTAGTTTCCCATTTCAACTACAAATTGCTTCAATCACATGTTAACAAATTTTTCATTCACTTTTTTAGAATGAAAACTTTCTATTACAATCGTTTCCTTGTTTACCATTGCATAAAACTGAATAAAGTAGTAACCAAAGTCTTAAGTTAATTTACACATGTTTTAGTGTTTAGTCTTGTTTAGAACTAGATAGATTGAAAATAATTCTTAAGAGTCATTAATATGAGGTGGCAATTGTTTTTTTTCATTCTAAAATTGTTATTCACAAGCTTCATCTCATATAGCTAACATTTGTTGGTTCTTACATGATCGACATTGATTAATAAGGTACATAAAAGTGATTCATTTTCAACCAATTAATAAACTTCAAATAACAAATTATAATTTGATCCGCAAACTCAGCAAATCATCTTTGTTTACAAATTATAATAGAAAATCCATATTTAAGTGTTGAACAATTGAAATATATTAAGTGTGTTTCTAATCGTTTAGTATTATGGAAAGTAACATACAGATTTTATTGATGATATTAGTGTTTGCAGTGAATACAGATTACAGTGAGTTTAACCATCCAGTAATGTTTCTATTATTATTTGTATTATACAAATATATGTATTGTTATTGAAAGTAACATGTCAATTGAATTGTTTATTACAATAATAACTTAGGTTGTTTGATTTCATAGCATACATTCCTAATTTCACTGAAATTTGTAAAGACGTTTACAGTATGCAGTGTGGAATATGACATTGATATCTCTTTCCACTGAGAATTCCATGTTGCTGATGTGTGTCAGTTTATTAGATCGTTCTGAAAATTTTGTGACCAAACAATGAGATCACAATGTTGATTTAATGAATTAATTTCACTGAATAAGATTATAAACTAATTTTCAGTAGAAAATTTCGCCTATGGAATTTTATTTAGTGATATTGGAATTTTGTTTGCTTTTTATTAATCTTCTTATCGTTACTTTCATCAAACTAACCAGATATATGTGAAATGACGGTATTGATTGCTAGCTTTAAGTGACTGGATTTTGCATTCATTTGGGAATTCTTTCATTATCACAGTTCATTTTATTTTTGGTTTGATTTCGCTATCTTCATTTACTTATTCTTTGTATTATTGTTCTAGATTGACCAAATGAGACACTGCTTCTTACCATGTTAACGACATCATGTTCACGGAAACTTTAATAGTTGGAGATATAATTTTGAAAATAGGCGTAGATATTTCTGTTATCAGTGGAAGGTAATCAAGCTAGTTACTTTATTCAGAAACAGTAGAGTTGTAAAATGAGTAAACTGTATGGTTCAGTTATACCGTATTATCATTCTCGAAAAAAGGTCTTAAATTAAATCTAAAATGTCAGAAAAATAGATAAGTGTATGTAATAATCTAACTCATGATATCATGGATATCACGCTCGTTGAAGTTGTTTTCAATCAATTTTTGGACTTATGAACAATTCATTTCTTCCTGTTGGTTTAAGATATACAGTATCTTCTCCTTTTCTAAATGAAGTCTATGGGATGTTCAAACACAGTTGTTAGAGTTTTCATAAGGTATGATCTCAAATCATTAATATGAATGGCGATTCAGTTTTTATATCTTCTTTCAGAAATTAAACATAACTACTTTATTTTATTTGCTTTCCTTCATGTCTTTTTGCCAGTATATTTCTGTTTCTATCCAGTTCATCTTATTTCTACTTTATGATCTGTTTTTAGTGTGAAAATGTTACCAATTACCTAAGCTATTCAAACTTTAATTTCAGATAAATTCATTTGATTACTACATTAAGATTCCGTCCCAAAGTTGTCTATGAAAATTTATTTACTTCAAATACTGTATTCAATATGAACTGAAAGACTATAGAACTAATTTATTCAGTAATGATCAACCTATTTTAGCAAAGTCAACAAGAAATAAACTTATAGTCAAAACTTTCTATTTGTTCTTACTAAATAAATTTAGTATTATCTTATGATTCATTCAATCTTTAGCTGTTTCTATTAAAGTAAATAGACCAGTACATGTCTACCTCTCGTTCATAAAGTATTTGATGTACTAAGATGAAATCATTATCGTTGTAATTTCCTTTTTTTTTAAAAGTTCGACTATAAAAATGAGGGGAGCAACTAATAAAGGGTGCCAAACTTTCCACTCATTATAATTAAAATAATCTTACATTTTAATTCAATTTGTATTGTTATACTTGAATCTCCCCATTGATGTTTGGGACTAAAATTGATCAATCTCTTAATGGCATATGTGCATACTGTGCGTATCGCCTCGATATTGCTTTAATTTACAAGCATTATAAGCAAAGATGGACTCAGTAGCTGAGTGGATAACGCGATGGCGTTTGAAGCAAATGGTACTGGGTTCGAGTCCCAGAGTGAACATCAACTCTGAGATGCAGGTACATACAGCTGACGAGTCCCAAATAGGACGAAACGCGCGTCCTGTATTCCACTGCTAGCGACTATCCATCTTTGCTTATAATCTTAAAATTTCTTTGAGTAGTAACCGTTTTTACATACAAACATGATCATAGGAGATCCGATATGATTGAGAATTTTGTAACCATGATCTCACAATCATATATTGTAAAGGTTGAAAATGATAATATTGTATTGTCTAACAGTGAGAGTTACTCATAATAAATGAATTCGAAAAAAATCAAGCATTTATGTTGGTTAAATTAGGTAATTTTGTTTGCAAAAGTGGTATTACATGCATTAACAAACTCCAAAATAAAAACCGCTCATTAATGTTATTATGATTGTCCTCCACACCTATTCATTTCAGCTTTTTCAGTCAAATGTTATGAGTGTGGATTGTGTCCATATCCATTCAATCATTCTTCTACTGAAGTTAGCATCAGAGATAACTGTAAATGGTGTGTGGTAAGTGTAGAGAGTATACGTAAAATTATTTGAGTTCTCATTATAAATAATAATTTAAAAAACTACTTTTAGTTCAATATAAACAAATTAATAACACTTTTAAAGATGAATAATGAAACACAGCAAAAATTTAAAATTAAGTTACTTGCCAAGAGTTGAGAAAGAAAAACTTAGCGTTATATTGAAAAACTCACCTCTCATGTTCTAAAATGATAGTGAAATATTAATTTAATAAAGTAAGATATTATAATCCAAAAGTACCACTTCATATTGATTAATGTCATGATGTCTAATAACAGACAGTATTAATCGAGATCCCAGTGTACTAATTTTACATTGAAACAAAAACAACAAGCAATGGAATATAATGAACTTAAATGAATTAACTAGTCTTTACTAACACTCAGTTATAAGCCAATCAAATGAATTATTAACTCTAGAAATGCAATATTAGACTATCTTTAGAAACTCACGAGTAAAATAAGTTTGCTTTTCTCAGTTAAATACATACCAGGTTGATGAAAACTTTCATTTGTGAAACATTTTAATCCACCGAAAATGAATATCATTATATTTATATATGGATTTACATTCGGAATTGTTGATGATAGTGTTGATGTCTTGATGTTACATACAGTTCACTGGAAAAACTGGGTAGTTTAATAAATCTTAATAACTTGGAGGATTGATTATTCGTATACTTGTCTAAAAGAATAGAAGGCATTTATTTTTTCACGAATATGAAGTATGATGAACTGTTGTCTTTTAAAAAGAAAAACAGTTTATATCTCAACAACTACAGGAATGCTTTTTAATTTCAGTTTCGAAGTCATATGTTTTCTTAGTTATCGATTATTCACGTCTAGGAAACTTTAAAAAGCAGTGACTTATTAAAAGTTGGCCTGTCATTATTCCACTTCATATTTTTTCTATAAACTGACATGTGATTATTTTTATCAAAGATATAAATAGTAACAATGCTCCAATACCACTTAATTACTGCAACAGTTCGATAGCTCTGCTTGATAGGGACCATCTATTTATTATCCATTTACAGATTTGAAAAATTTCTTGTTGGAACAAATGCAAATATCACAGTTAATATTTGTTGAAGCTTTCAACATCATCAAAAGACTTTAGCTCATCCTTCAAATAAATTTATCAATCTAATGTTATAAAGTATTTGATATATGAAAGGAACTTTTTTTTCATCTAGGTATACTGTTTTTTAATGTCATTGTGAAAATCAGTTTGTATGTTAGTTCAGATTGTTCACAACGTGTATATGATGACCACCTCTTGGTACAGTAATTTGATCTTATTTCATTACAAAAACAGAACTTAGGCCATGGTCGTGAGCTATATTGTCATTTAGGAAAGTTCTCCAAATATAGATTAATGCTACTCAATAGATCGTAAATTTCCAGTTTACAGATTCATACATAAGTCGCAGCATATATCGTTTGCTTAAATAATAGACTGAAACATTTTGTAGCACATTGATACACTCATTATTCTCAATCAAACATGAGGTGGAATGCAGGATTGTATATTACATGGTTCATATATCCTAACTCCGCCTGGAGTCCCTTTCGGGGGGCTACTGCCAGTCCCAAGCCCGGATAAAGGAGGAGGGTTGGGCATGGGGTTAGCGACCCCATCCCGTAGAAAACTAACTCGCTAAAAAAACGCTAACCAGAAAAAATTATTCAAACCATTTAAACTCTGCCCTGGGAGTCAAAAGGTCTTCGTTTAGAAGAATTATGACGCCTCATGATGAAAGCCGAGTTTCTTCGGAAGTCACGAGGCCGATGCTTCTTCTGACAACCAGAGCAAACATTTATTTAGGTACGTGGAATGCTCGCACAATGTGGGAGACTGGGAGAGTTTTCCAAATTGCTGCAGAAATGAGGAGATACAATTTAGAGGTGCTTGAGATAAGTGAAACACATTGGACGCAAGTTGGACAACAACGACTAGCTTCAGGGGAGCTGCTGTTATACTCCGGACATGAACAAGAAAATGCCCCACATACACAAGGAGTTGCGTTGATGCTGTCCAAACAAGCACAAAATGCACTTATAGGATGGGAATCTCATGGACCAAGGATCATCAAAGCCTCCTTCAAAACAAAGAAAACGGGCATTACAATGAACATCATCCAATGCTACGCGCCTACCAACGACTACAATGAAGACGCTAAAGATCAATTCTACGATAGGCTGCAGTCAATCGTCGAGAAATGCCCAACAAAATACCTGACTATTCTGATGGGAGACTTAAATGCCAAGGTTGGAATTGACAACACCGGATATGAAGAGATCATGGGACGACACGGACTGGGAGAAAGGAACGAAAATGGTGAGAGATTTGCAAATCAATGTGCCTTCAATAAACTGGTCATAGGCGGGACTATATTCCCACATAAACGCATACACAAATCCACATTGACATCACCGGATCACAGCACACAGAACCAAATCGACCATATCTGCATCAACAAAAAGTTCAGGAGGACGATGGAGGACGTGAGAACAAAGTGAGGAGCTGATATAGCATCAGATCATCACTTGCTGGTCGCCAAGATGAAATTAAAACTCAAGAGGCACTGGACAACGAGAAGGACAATATCACAAAAATTTAATATGGCTCTTCTTCGGAAATTCCTATGATGGATTAAACTGCAAAATAGTTCATGGAGGACAGTTGACAAAGTCGTTCGAAGTAAAGACCGGTGTCAGGCAAGGTTGCCTACTCTCACCCTTTCTCTTTCTCCTGGTGATCGACTGGATCATGAAGACATCAACATCTGAAGGGAAGCACGGGATACAGTGGACAGCTAGGATGCAATTGGATGATCTAGACTTCGCAGATGATCTGGCTCTTCTATCGCATACGCAACAACAAATGCAGGAGAAGAATACCAGTGTAGCAACAGCCTCAGCAGCAATAGGTCTCAATATACACAAAGGGAAAAGCAAGATTCTCCGATACAGCACAGCATGCACCAATCCAATCACAATTGACGGAGAAGCTTTGGAAGATGTAAAAACCTTTACATATTTGGGCAGTATCATCGATGAACACGGTGGATCTGATGCAGATGTGAAGGCACGGATTGGCAAAGCAAGAGCAGCATATTTACAACTGAAGAACATCAGGAACTCAAAACAATTGGCAACCAACACCAAGGTCAGAATTTTCAATACAAATGTGAAGACAGTTCTACTGTATGGGGCGGAAACCTGGAAAACTACGAAATCCATCATCCAGAAGATATAGGTGTTTATTAACAGTTGTCTACCCAAAATACTTCGGATCCGTTGGCCGGACACTATTAGCAACAACCTACTGTGGGAGAGAACAAATCAGATGCCAGTGGAGGAAGAAATCAGGAAGAAGCGCTGGAAGTGGATAGGACACACATTGAGGAAAGCACCGAACTGCGTCACAAGACAAGCCCTCACATGGAATCCTGAAGGTCGAAGGAGGAGAGGAAGACCAAAGAATACATTACGCCGGGAAATGGAGATAGATATGAGGAAAATGAACAAGAATTGGATGGAACTAGAAAAGAGGGCCCAGGACAGAGTGGGTTGGAGAATGCTGGTCGGCGGCCTATGCTCCATTGGGAGTAACAGGCGTAAGTAAATAAGTAAGTAAGTTATATATCCTAGTGGTTTACAATTGCGAAGATCATCTACCGATGTCATTTCTCTACTGAAAAGTCCACATTTGAACTTAAGTTTTCTAGGTCATTGTTATATCGTAGAACACTTATACCTTGATGAAACCAGTAGTAAAATACATATAAACGCCTAAGCTTCATTGATTTTGTTACTAATGCCTCACAACTAAGAGATAAGATAATGTAGCTCTTTGTTGTATTCTAGGACCTTGATAAACTTAATAATTTCCGACTAATATTCAAATAAACACAACTTGGAGAAATTCTCCTGAACTTTCTGAATACACACTTTTTCTGTCAGGGAAAAGACGATGTGACCGCACATCAATGCGACTCAATGTTAACTATCTGAGACGGAAAAATACATCAAATCTGTTGTGATTAGGTATAAGTTACTGAAACAGGGATACCAACAATTTTTTTCATCCCAAGTTTACCGTATGTCAATAACAAACGAACAGGTTTGGTTAGCGCAAGTTATTTTTTTCGAGATTTATTTAAGTTGAAATTCATTTTTAGTACGAGGTATATCAAGCTACTAAGCACTGAAAAACTGAAGAGTGTTGGACAATCGTTTCTTCCTAGTTTGGGGTTTTCCAGATGTGCCCACCTAAAAATACGTACGGAGTCGAATTCATTACCTTTAAGTTTCATGATAAGCGCTCAGACAAAATTTAACGTCCATCATTTACAAACTCCTGGTGAGAAGTGTACTCTAAATTGGTTAGTCTGAGACGCAGACCTTGTTTTAGACCAGCTTATGATAATACATCCATGTTCATATCCACACTAAAATTTTAATACTCCATGTTAATTGTTAGTTGATCTCGAAGTACTAATATTCTTCAAAACACTTTTGTTTCCTTTTTTTCCACATAATTGATCAGTCACTTTCAATTGGCAGTCCACATTTAACATCTAAAGGATGTGCAGATCGGTGTGAATCAATAGACTTTTTAAAGAGATATGTTAACTATAATTATACTTGTTGTAATACGAGCTATTGTAATGTCAGTTCAAAAACCTGCACAACTAATAAAATATTGTTTTTACTTCTACTGATAATTTATTTTTATTTTAACGCTGAGAAATAAAAATGCAGTTGATAATATATTTGTTGACTTTTCGTCCAATTCAGATGATGTTTCATTAATCAGTTGTAGTGATATTAATAACTATAAACAGTAAGATATTTTGACACTTCTCTTTTTTGTATATGTGGATATTTCAATATTGGAGATCATGAGTCAGTTGAAACTAGACCGCCATGGAAAACCTGGATGCACTATTGTCGCCCAATTTCGTGGATTGGTTGAAGTTAGACATTAACACCGTTGGATGCCGGGCTCAGTGGTTCAGTGTTTAAGCGCTCGCGTGCGAGACTGATAGGTCCTGAGTTCGAATCTCGCGAGGCAGGATCGTGGATGCACACTGCTGAGTAGTCCCACAACAGGATGAAACGGCCGTCCAGAGCTCCCAGGTTTTCCATGGTGGTCTAGCATCAATTGATTTATTATATCAACCATTGAAATTACTATAAGTTCCACAAAAACCCTTCTGATATGTGGATATGGTTGTTTATCTGACGCATTTAATCGTTCTATGAAGGATGAATGTCATTACAGAAACTCGCTGCTTTGAGGAATCTCCTAATTACATGTTATTCAGGACTTATTTATTTATTTGAATACATAAATATTGGTACAAGGGGGCACCAAATATATATGCGCCACACAAAACAATGAGAATGGGAAGAGAGAAAAGAAGGTAAGGTGCGTATAAGAAAAAAAGAAAAAAGATTAGTGTAAGGTAGTGTCATAATAATAATAATAATAATAATAATAATAATAATAATAATAGTGGGGGAAACGGAAAGGTACAACCAGAAGAAATCTTTCAGTTAAGCAAGATACAAACCCTTTTTATGAAGAATATAAAAGGTTACAGCAGGATCACCACTAGCTTCTATTCTGAGCCATATCTGATAACGTCTCAAGCCACTGTGTTGCACCATCTCTCAGATCCCAGCCAGGGAGTCGTGAAGGACCAACAGAAGCCAGTTCTGTACAGCTCTTCTTCATACCACGACACCATGTCAAACACTGATCACCTCTCCGCTTTTTCCAACCAGTCCCAGCGTCGGCAAATAATGCACGACGTGGAATTCTCTGGGACGATATTCGTGGAACACGTCCAAGCCACCGAAGTCGATGTTTCAAGTTGGTGACACCAATTGGATTATCGTCTCTGTGCCCGAACACACGATGCCGAACCTCTGCATTACTAACATGGTGTTGCCACTGAATATCAGCAATCCTTCGGAGACAACGATGATCAAACACAGAGAGTCGTCTAACATCCCCAACTCAGAGAGGCCAGGTTTCACAAGCATAGAGCAAAACTGCTCTCACCGACGCGTTGTAGAACGCTCGTTTGTTGTAGAAGTACTTCGAACTTCGAGGGTGCAAACCACATACTGTATCTACGGACGTTGATTGCCAACTCATTAAGTGCGGATTAGGACAATGCAATGAGATGTTTATCAGAATTATGTGATATATTTATGCAATACATTTCCGGCAATTTGATCACACAAATACTTGTTAAGACATTTTATATGAATAATAAAAGGTCAATTAGACTAATAAAAAGGTAAGCGGAAACAAAGATAATAATAATAAAGTACACAATAACAATGTGAAAACCACGCTGGATAATAAATCAGTACTACCAAGGTAGGTCAAGGGTAAGGAGCTTTTCTTTTGAACACATAGAGGGGATCTCGGTTTCGTATAGCCAAACTTCAACAAACACTAGCATACGCCCTTGAAAACTTGAGCAAAACTACAAAGGATGACTTTATATCAATCCTATGACCGGTTTCAACCAAATTTTTCTCAATGGAGGTAGATATTTGTCCTGTAATTTTACTTGATCATTCGATTTCATTTGTTTTTGTAGCCATACTAATTACATAATATCTTTTACATTATTTTGATAGTTTCCATAGTTTCTACACATCGTTTCATACTAAAATCAATCTAGAGACAAAAAATGCAAACAATACTTGATTTAGTCCCCTGTTCATAATACTGAACATGTGAACATTCCCAAATCAAATAGTTTAGTGAATAAACTATTAGATCTTAGGAGATGCAGTCAGTAAATCCAATTTGATCTCTGTGAAAACTAGTTAATATTCTCTATCAGGTTAGAAAAGTGATTTATTAATAATAATTGGTTTACAAACACCACAAACTGAATAAGTTAAAGTTTAGTGTGTGAAATATTAACATCAACCTTCGAAGTTAAATATTTTATCTAGTATAACAGTATACCACTATGGTGAGTCGTTCTCAATCATATGCGATAGTTCACAAGGTCGATAAGAGCTTTCTGGAAGTATTGCAATCTGGAACACTTGTTTGGTGTTGAACCAGTACTTTAAGTGTATGATGATGAAAAACTGCATGTATTAACTGAACTACCCACAGAATTTCTGGATGCGTATTTAAAGTGTAATCTGCTAAAAAATGCCCTGTTTGAAGGAAACATTGGTGATTGTTACCAGTCAACCCACAGTTTATACACGCATGCACTCAAAGTCGTGAGGCGCTTATTATTGGACTTGATATTAAAATCGCATTCAATCCCACTCACATTCAAAAAAATGTAAACTCTGATTTGTAAAGTTGTAGCCTAGTTAAACATATAAATCCTATGAACGACTAGGCAACAGTTGCTGAGTTCACATCCACTTGAGACTTTCCTATACAGTTATTACATCTTTGCGGTCAGCAATACAGCATCAGAGCTAAAACATTAGGGATAGTATGATCTTCAGCCAAACGCTTCGTAAACTACTTAGCAAATGTGCAGAACATTTCACTGTGTATGCTTTATTGCACAATCACTGATGATTCGGTTCCGATAAAAATCAGATTTGTAATAGCGTCAACACAACTGTTTAGTCAAACCGTGGTGATCCATATATTATTGATAAGTCACTTCATGTATCAGAAACAGTGAGTTGACTTGCGGTCATCAAATAGATATCTGGAAACAGTAAATTGGTAAGTCGATATCCAGAAAACATCAACTAAATTGTTTCACATCTACACTAAGTTCGTAGTTACTTGATCTCATGTCATGTCTTATTGAATGATGGGTCAGAGTGTACACTGAGTATTTCCACAAGAAGTTAGGTATTACAATGAATCGTTTGGAATTCCAAAACATTTAGACTGTCAACCGTCTACATGGAATTCGTTTAGGAAGTTGTGAGTCATGTTCCTCCACATGTTTAGGAAATCCTATGTTGTATTCGGTGTTTGATATTTGCTCACAATAATCCAGAGTTCGCAATAACAAACAAAACAGAAACAAATTGGTGGTTGAAGAAAACAATATCTAATTGTTTTCGTTGTAAAGAAACACATGAGAAGCAATTCACACAACAACAAGAAGTCAACAACTATTTGTTAGTGAACATCACATGTTGACAAAGATTGAGTGTGGTTTCGATTCAGTGAAAAGTTTGAGTTGACAATTCAAGTTTTTAAATGGCATCTAATTGGCTAAGTCAGTCATCAACTTTATTAAAAATAAGCTATCTGAACATTAATTTACTGAAGTTATTGATTCACTAATGGAGAAACGGAAACGAATGCAAACTAATTTTACAGACAGAATCTACACAGCATTAAGGCTTTGCTAGCAATGAAAGTTACTCAATTTGGACCTGTTTAACCATATAGCTACCCACATCATTGGATCTTCAACTCATCAAATTCCTCAGTGGCTCACTGAAGTTAATGTTACAATTTACTCACACTATGACAGTAGATATGAATATGTTTAAAAAATTTATGAGATGATTTGACTTTCAACAACGTGATGATGACATATAGGAACTCTCGTCATTCCTATTCATAGGACCTATTCCGTAAGGTGCAACATGTAGTCACCTATCGGTCGTTAATCATTCCCAATGTTTTAAAGTCCCCATTTTATTGAAAACGAAGATCCGTAATCAAAGAGTATTCTAAAACAAGAAACACTTGAGCATATAATTGTTCCTAATAACTTCATAATCAGGCTTCACATTTATAAATCAATAACTGTTGTATTACAATTGATAAAATCAATACATAAATAAATGAATCAAATAATGTTACAGGTTAAAATGGAGTTTTGATTTTGTTGCAGTTTAAAGATGTCTAAAGTGTATCGATTGGTAATTTAAAAGATTATTCAAGAAATGGCTAGGAAAATTCGTTGTAAGGTGTCGAGTTGTTGAAAATATGAATATTCTTTCCGCTTATTTTTCATTTGATTCCAAATCAAAGATCTAACAGTTTAAATGTATTCTTAGCACTTGAGTGTATCTATGTTAAAATGGCTAATATGTTGTGTCTATCTGGTTTAAGTTTTAGGTCTAATGAAATTACGAGGATATTGGTTGGAAAGCATTTAGATAAGGTATGGTGAGACAAGTAATCATATAATTAATGATCAAATCAGACGTCCAATCAGAGATCACGTAATATATAAAATAATAAGAATTTAGCATGAAATAATAAGTGCGAAGTGAGTGCTAAGTCAATTGTTCAAGTGTATAGGGGGAAAATAAACCAGTCAATCAATTATAAGCAAAGTAGGACCTGGAACGTATGTGCATTAAATCAACTTGTCACAGCATATCAGCACGGCGAGATGAAATTATCAAGACAAATTTTAGATTAGCAGAAGCAGTAACGGTATCAGTGGTAATAAAACAGACTAGGCATATACTATATAACCTGAGACAGAATGAACACGATAAGATGAACTTGAAATTTAAAGTCTACTTGAAGACAAAGAGTAAATGGATCTGTTCCAATGTGACCCGCTCCGGGCTACATTACTCATCTCAGATATTAGTTATGATGATCACGTGAAACCTAACCTACCGACAAGGTCTACTTCAAGTCACTGATTTCATGGAGTTGAGATTAAACAAATTATACAGAATCACATAACCTGGTGTTCCCCAAGACTATCTCACTACACCCTATCAATATACCTTTTGTGAGTTTCCCTTCTTTAATATATGTTGTTTAACTCGAAAAACC